CCCAGTCGCCCGCCCGGGCCGCCCCAGCTCGGCGGAGAGCCTCTGCACCGCGCGTCTGCGGAGCCGGCGGAGGCGACATCCTTGCGCCCAGTGCACACCGGAAGCTCCAGGTGCGAGGGCCAGAGACAGAGTCGCCATCGCTTGGCAGTGCCTGTAGGACGTCGAGGCCCAGGCCCGCGGCCCCATCGCACCCCAGATCCCCCCACATCCGGGACACAGTTATGCCCCATCCCTGACTGCGAGGCGAAACAGAAAGAGAGCAGCCGTCCTTCCCACCATGAAGGCAGAAACAGCGCCCTCGGTCCCAGGGTCCCCAGCCCTGCCCAGCTGTGGCCTCTGGAACCTGCTGAGCAGCCGGAACCTGCTGATGGCGGGGATTGTGCTGGGCTCGCTCCTGGTCACCCACCTCCTGGTCGGCCTGTGGATGCTCTGCCTCGTGTTTGCGCTGCTGCTGGTGCTGGGAGGGTGGCAGGGCCCCAGCGCCATCATGGGGGCCGGGCGGCTGCACCTGGAGTGCTTCTTCCCAGTGGCCGCCTGCTCTCCAGACCCCGAGGCGGAGAGGCAGCTGGAGCAGGAGATCCACCGCACCATCCAGATGATTATCCGGGACTTCGTGTCATCCTGGTACCGCTCCGTGAGCCAGGAGCCAGCCTTCGAGGAAGAAATAGAGGCGGCCATGAGAGGCTTGGCCCGGGAGCTGCGGAAAAGGATGGGCACGGTGGACAGCCCTGCCCTTGCCCAGAGGGTCCTGACGCTCTGCGGTTGTCACCTGCAGAGCTATATGCGGGCGGCGAAGGAGGTGGCTGCAGCAGCAGGGAAGCAGAGCGGTCAGGTGGAGCCTTCCCAACTCTGGGAGGCTTACTGCAGGGCCGCCGCCCCACATCCCGCGGTCCAAAGCGCCGGGGCTGAGGTTGCCTACACACGTCGCATTGTGAGTTCGTTGCTTCAAGGACTAGTGCCCAAGCCCCACTTGGAGACTCGGACAGGACGCCACGTGGTGGTGGAGCTCATTACTTGCAATGTGATCTTGCCACTGATCAGCAAGCTGTCAGATCCCGACTGGATCCACCTTGTACTTGTGAGCATCTTTTCTAAGGCTAGAGGTACTCCAGGAGGAGTAAAGTCACACTGCCCAGCCAGTGCCACGGGGCCCGAGCAGCCCTCGGTGCCCACATCTCTGCCGCTGGTTGTTGAGGTACAGAGTCTGCCCGAGGCGAGAGCCCCCTCTCCAGCTGCAGCCCAGGGGCTCCTCAACTGTGAGGAGCCAGAGGGACAGTTACGCTCCTCCCCGGAAGTGGAAGAAGGCCATGAAGCTGTAGAGGGAGATGTGGGTGGAGCGCCAGAGGAAAGAAAAGGAGGAAACAGCTCCTCTCATTTCCTACAGCCAGATATCCGAGGCCCTCTGTTCTTATGTGAAGACGCGGAGCTGGAGTCTCCATTGTCTGAACTCGGCAAAGAAACCATCATGCTCATGACCCCAGGCAACTACCTGACTGACAGGCTCCAGGATGCCCTGTGTGCCCTCGGGGGTTCCCAGTCTCTGCAGCCTAAGGATGATGAGGGTCCTGAAGGAGTTGAAGGAGCTGAGGCTGAGGAGGGTCCAGGAACAGAAAAAGAGACAGGTCTGGTCTCCACGTTGAATTCCTGCCCAGAGATCCAGATTGACACGGCAGACAAGGAGGTAGAGCAAGATGTCACCTCTCTTACAACTTTGTTGGCCAGTCCGGAAAGGACCTGCCCACCACGACCCTCATGCTTGGAGAAAGACCTTACCAATGGGGTGAGCTCCCTCGATCCTAGTCTGCCACCGGTTCTGCTGTCCTCCTCTCCAGCTGGTTCTCTCAGCTCAGCAACCTTCAGCTTTGAGCCCCTGAGCAGCCCCGATGGCCCAGTTGTCATCCAGAACCTGCGTATCACTGGCACCATTACTGCCCGAGAGCACAGTGGCACGGGATCCCACCCGTACACGCTCTACACGGTGAAGGTAACAGGACCGGAAATGTGGTCACCCACTCTAATCTTGGAATGGGTTTGGAAAGCCGTTGGTGAAGCTAAGACTCTAAAGGAGAGAGGCTACTCTTTGTTTGCTATGAGTCTGGAGTTCATCGGTAAAACAGAATAGGTTTCTATGCAATACCCACAAGCAATCCTAGAATTTCAGGGTGTTAGGAGACTGAGGGTCATATTTTTGAGTGGTTCCCAAAGTATAGAGCCTTGTCCAGAAATTCTCTTTCCATACTTTTCCCCTGCTAATTAATTTTTTAAATAATTATAAACTTTTTAAAAAACTTGATTTGAGAGAGAGAAACATTGATCGGTCACCTCCCGCGCACACCCTGACGGGGATTTGAACCCACCACCTTTTGGTGCATGGGATGATGCTCCCACCAATGGAGCCACACTGGCCAGGGTGATTTATTTCTTTTTTTAAAATACTAGTATCTTCTTGTTTTGGAAGGAAGATCCTTTAGCTATATATTCCTCAGAAGACAGTAAAATCCTCATTTGCAGAAATGATATAAAGGGAGTTTATGTGTCAGATGGCTGGTTCAATTAGAGCAACAATTCCCTAAAACAGATTTTAGGATAGGCTTCCTCCAAGTCTCCTGAGAGCTGTATTTTTTTAAAAATCCTAGGACCCCACTTTGGAAATTCTCATTCAGAATATGTGAGAGGCTGTCAGAATATATATATTTAAAAAGCAGCCCAAGTGATATTGAGGTGTAGCCAGGTTTGGGAATGTAAGTATTGATAGTGTCGCTCAAGGAGTAGAATATTCCATGGAAAGCATTATAACTCCAAGGTACTCCCAAGTTTGAAAGCTCTGCCTGGAATTCCACCTGTTTCTTACCTAAGCCTTTTCCTAGACTGATGGACTGCTTTGCTCATGTCAGTTCATAACGAATACCTCTCTTTCTCCATGGCTTTAGAAATTTTTAAAACACCAGCCTCAGATCCCACCAACAAGAGAGATTGTTTCTTATATCACTTGCCCACAGTATAGTACCTCAACCAAACAACAGTAACCTACCTCTACTAACCTACCTCAACCTGTGGGTCGCGACCCCTTTGGGGGATTGAATGACCCTTTCACAGGGGTCACCTAAATACATCCTGCATATCAGATATTTACATTACAATTCATAACAGTAGCAAAATTACAGTTATGAAGTAGCAACGAAAATAATTTTATGGTTGGGGGTCACCACAACATGAGGAACTGTATTAAAGGGTCGCGGCATTAGGAAGGTTGAGAACCACTGCACAAGCACATATGTTGTTCTTCCATAGCATTTCACTGTAATTTAACTACTGGGTCCAAAAGTCTTCCCCTATACTAAGTTGCACCTTTCATGCTGTTCAAGGTATTGGCTCTGGGAGCATACAGTAAAGTTCTCTTTTCCCATATACTGGCCCTACAAACATATAAAGACGGCAAACTTTAACCCCTTCCAACATCTCCACTTTTCACATGACATCTAATACAGATGACGTATACTTAGGAAAAAAAATATTGTTTAGCTCCAAGAATAATAATTCATCTGCCCTGAACAGCAACAACAAAAAAACAAACACTTGTCCCTTTAATGCATTCCAGACAAATGATTTTTGTTCATCAGTTGTTATGAATTATTTTCCCCCAAACTAATATACATAATCACTGATTGAATATAATGGCAAAATGGTAATCTCCTTATGACACCCAACCCCATAATTGAGGGGTGGAAGAGGTAGTATTTTTTTTTTTATCAGTGTTGTACCTTTGGTTTTAAACTGTCTGGGATTTGTAAAGTAGCTATGTAGCCATTTTTATAAGTGAAAGTGTTTGCAGGAGGGAGCTTTGAGATGGAAGGAGTAGAGAGCAATAAAACTCATTTTTCACTTTCTAGGCCATACTATGTTGGAAAAAATATCTCATTCTTTAATTCAGCCACCCCTGGACCTTGAGTTGTTCATTACAACTTAGAGCAGCAATCAGATCTGGTAGGTTTGGGAACAGAATAAGAATAGATCCCTTCCTTACCCCTACTCTCCTTTTACTATGTGGCTATTGAGCTGATGCAGTAAACACATTTATTCATTCAACAGTATGAGACGGCCCTTGACAGCGAGAACAGCAGCAACCTGCAGCAGTTGGCATACCACACTGTTAATCGCCGCTACCGCGAGTTCCTGAATCTACAGACCCGCCTGGAGGAGAAATCAGATCTCCGCAAGTTCATCAAAAGTGAGGAGTTTCCCCAGGCCTGGACCGCCTGCTTGCTTCCACATCTAGCCACCTTGATCTGAGGCTGGGGGCCTGTTGGTTTGTGGCAAGGGTGGAGGGAGAGAAAGTAGCATTAAGGGTCCTTTACTCTGCCACCCCTCACCCCAATTTGCATTCAGATGATTTGGGGTTTAGTACTAGACAGACAGCAATGGTCACATTGTTTCTGAGATATTCCTTTACTCTGCCACCCCTCCCCCAATTTGCATTCAGATGATTTGGGGTTTAGTACTGGACAGACAGCAATGGTCACATTGTTTCTGAGATATTCCTTTACTCTGCCACCCCTCCCCCAATTTGCATTCAGATGATTTGGGGTTTAGTACTGGACCGACAGCAATGGTCACATTGTTTCTGAGATATTCCTTTGCCACCGAATTCTTTGTTCTGGAGTCTATTTAGTTTAAGCTTAATAAAGAAACTTTCAGCCCTAGCTGGTTTGGCTCAGTGGATACATTTCCACTTATGCCTATGAGATAGCATGAGGAAGTAACTTTTCCAGATCCATACAGTAATTGCTTTTTAATATTAAAATATCCAGAAATTCTCGCCAGCTTTGCTTTAACAACCAGGTTTTTTAGAGATGCCATGAGACACAAGAACAATAAGAAAATGTAATAAAATTTAACTCTGAAAGTATGCTAATAAGCAGCGAGTTTATTTTTTAAGTAAACAAAATGTGTTTATTTAAAAAAGCTAACGATCACCCAGATAAACATTTTAATAAGCTTAGGCATAAATTGTGGATTTCAGTTATGCATTTTCTTTCTTAATAATAGCTATGACTGGGCCAAACTTGAAAATATATGCCAGGTTCTCTTCTAAGCACGTTACACATATTTAGCTCATTGAATTCTCATAACAGCTTATAAGATAAATACTATCATTATCTCCACTTTACAAAAAAAGTCAAAGAAAGATTAAGCAATTTGCCTAAGGTCGTTATTATAGGAGGAATCGGAGCCTAAATTTAAACTTGGGCAATTGGATTTCAGGGCCCTCATTTGTATCCATTGTAGTGTATGGTCTCTGCTATCTTAATATTAACATTAATAATGGGAGTAGATTGTATGTATTATATCCCTGGGGTATATTTGGAACTTCTGAAATAAACAATCTCAGGGAAATATATTCAACAGTTCTGCTTTGTTGTTTTTAGTTAAGTTCTGTTAAGTGACTACACTTTTTTTTTTTTTTTAAGATGTGAAGGGTCCCAAAAAGCTCTTTCCAGATCTCCCATTTGGTAACATGGATAGTGACAGAGTAGAAGCCCGTAAGAGCCTCCTGGAATCATTCCTAAAGGTCAGCAACCTTCTGTTTTGGCTCTGTGCCCTTTTTACCCACCAGACACCCAAGCCAGGGTGGGGAGATGGAGGGAACTAGAATTTCTCTTTGAAGTCCCTCTCGTGCCTTTTGCAGCAACTCTGTGCCATTCCTGAGATCGCTAACAGTGAGGAGATGCAGGAGTTCCTCGCTCTGAACACAGATGCTCGTATTGCCTTTGTCAAGAAACCGTTCATGGTCTCCAGAATAGACAAGGTACTTATACGCTCAGCCTTAGTTCTTACAAGCATCGAGGCAGTGCTTTAAAAATGAGGGAGGTGGAGGATGGGGAGAGGCAGCACAGAGGAGTTAGTCGAACATGGACTAGGATTTTTAAGACCTATTCCCAAATATTGGTTGGATATCAACTTGTTGAATTACAGTGAGCAACTTGGAGGGTACATTATCCCTGACGGTGTAAATGTACACACATCTGCTAGGGACATAGTTATTCTAGCGGCGGGTTGTAAGAATAGATCTATACCTCATAAATAGGTGGGGGCAGGAAAGTCCTTCCTGGAGGTGAAAGTCATTCCCAATGTTGGTCACTCGGGAAAGCAACCCCTAAGGAGGACACTAAGCTGGATTTAGATGGTGTAGTCATTTTCTGCTGGAGAACAGAGTGTGGGTAGACTTGTACCTTCTTCAGTAGGGTATCTCAGGACCTTTGAAGATGGTAGCAGAAGGACATTTGTATAAACACATTGGAACCTGCAAGCAGTGATTACCAACTGATTTTACAGTCCCCAAGGCAAAAGTCCGAGGTTTATGTTTATCCAAGGATGTCTTATATATTTTTTAAAAAGTTAGAAAACACCTACTTGTTGGCAGAAAAGAGGCCACTCTCTTCTCATCTAGACTTCAGGGGGAAAAATGATAAAGTGGAATTTCACATGGTCGGAGTTGGGAGACATTGACTGCTATGATGAAAGAACTGCAAATTAGAGAGGGTTGCACAAAGTAAAATCCTCGAAGTTCATTCATTGATTCTTTCAGCATCTACTTACTGCTTGTGTACTGTACTCGCTGTTCATGATACAATAGTGAACAACACAGATAAGGACCTTTCCCACAGACTACAATTTTATGGGCCCAGAGAGCACGTTATATTGTCTAAGCCATGTTAAGCACATTCATATGCTACTCTCTGTGTTCTTTCCTTGGATTGTTATGCCCTTTACTGTGCTCTTACTCAACCATTACAGCAGTGATGGCGAACCTATGACATGCGTGTCAGAGGTGACACGTGAACTCATTTTTTTGGTTGATTTTTCTTTGTTAAATGGCATTTAAATATATAAAATAAATATCAAAAATATAAGTCTTTGTTTTACTATGGTTGCAAATATCAAAAAATTTCTATATGTGACACGGCACCAGAGTTAAGTTAGGGTTTTTCAAAATGCTGACACGCCGAGCTCAAAAGGTTCGCCATCACTGCATTACAGCCTTGTCTTAGCTGGTCCAGTTCCTTGTTGAGGATTAACCAAGAAGGAGTTAAAGAAGTCCCGGTGTTGCTCTGAGCCAGCAGTATTAACTGATGAGAGGCACCAAAGGGAAAGTAAATGTTTCTTCAATATTTAGGGTTTCATTTGTTTGTGCATTTTTCTAGCAAATATCTATATGTCATTTTCTCATTCTGAAAAATAGAATTCTTTTCATTGAGGATTGTTTTATTAGTGTTTCTGAGTAGAGAAGTTTATATCAATTTCAGACTTCTTAATTTGGACCTGAGTGATTTTTGTTATTCTTTCTGTCCTAAAGAAGAAAAATTGAATTAACTGGAAAAGCCAGCTCTTTACTCTGTGTGAATTACACTGAACATGTTTATATTTTACATGTCTCTAGACATATTTTGTATTTTGATAATCTTCATTCTTTCTGTTCTTCATATATTTTCACCTATATTACTTCTGCTTTTTCACATCTTGGTGAAAGAATCAATTTGGAAACTAAAAATCATTCTTTTTTATACAAAGAAAGAAATTGAAAATGGAAAATATTTCACCAGCCTTCAGAACTCTCAGGTTTTTATTTATCCCATTGTTTGTTTCAGCCACTTTCCCCATGCCATTGTTTGTCTTACTCTGTGAGAAAGAAGCTTTTTATGGCCATAGAGAAAGGGGAGAACAGTTGCCACTAAGTTACTAGCTGGTATCTGACTATGCTGATGGCTAGGGCTCCACTAGATAGCCTAGCTGTCTCCCCATCCTGATCGCATAAAGCACCGTGAGAAAACTGCTCATTCGGTGATTTCTGTCTGACTCTGCTCCTCTGACCCCTGCAGATGGTGGTGAATGCTATCGTGGACACCTTGAAGACAGCATTTCCTCGCTCTGAACCCCAGAGCCCCACAGAGGAGCTGAGTGAGGCCGAGACAGATAGCAAGCCCCAGACAGAAGGCAAGAAGGCTGGCAAGTGAGAAGCCCTTCAGTCGCCCAGTTCTCAGGTTGATCCCCAATCCTCAGCCAAAGCCCATCCCCAACTCTCAAGCTCTAGAAGAGAAGAGGTGGGCCATACATACTAGTTTTTATGCACAGCTAGACCTTGAACTCCTCAGTGCTCAACTCAAAGGAGCCTGAGATCCTGTATAGGCAGCTCCGCGGAATGTTTGTCTTGCCGTGAGAACCCAGGGCCCAACTGATGAGGGATTTGTGACTAGAAGGAAAACTCTAGAATATGGATCTTCTCCTTTTGTGTTTTCCTGGAAAACTGAAAGGTTCTTTCCTATTAAGAGCTAAGGCTTATAACTGATCTCTGTTTACCATCTTTTCTGGAAATCTTGGCTCAGAAGTTGCATATGCCAGCAATAAACAGGGAAGAGCTTGAATGGCCACCTGCGGCGCCCATTTTAGTAACTGGTTATGGCTGCTGCTCTCCTGCACCAGGTCTCAGATGTGCCCTGGCAGTACTCAGAGCCAGCCTGTGGAAAGGAAGGGCACCACACCTACCCTTACTGGAAACTTCCTATCTGTGCATGGGCCATGATGGAGAGAGAGAAAATGGAGGGCATGGAGTGTTTGTGTTGGTGTCTGCTTGTCTGGCTGACTGTCTACCTTTGTCTCTGTCAATAACATAAGTTTTAGCCTTTTTTTCCTGGGCCTATACTTTGACCGGTGCTTATAAGAATCCTATCCCTTGAAACACTGAGGTTTGCACTTGGAGTCCCTTCCCCGGTTTTATTTGGAACACGAGGGGACTAAGATAAGTGGATGTGCATAAAGATACTGACAGCAGCAACAAATGCCACTTGTCTGACCTTCAACAAATATTTAATGAGTGTGTAGTGTGTGCTAGCACTCTTCTAGCCTCTGGGAATACGACGAGGCAGACTGGTCCCTCTTTGGCATTAGCTAAACCCCCTTTATGGATGCATTGTAGACAGCTTAGTGCAAGAATTGCACTGTATATTAAGACTTTCCAAAATATATGTTGTTTGGAAGAGTTCAGGGCCAGGGCTGTTCTGGCAGCTCTGAGCCCTATAAACGCCCAGAATAAGTATAGGCATACTCGTTTTGAGTATTAATACTTGTAAGCCCTTCATATGCTAGGGCAAGATCACGAATTACATCGTGTTTCTGCTCTTTGTTTCTATACCAGGTCCAGATTGAGGTTCTCATCCAGTAAGATCGCTCCAGCGCTGAACTTGGCCAACACACAAGAGAAGGTTCTCTATGGTCTCCAGGAAGGCACTGTGGTGAGAAGCTCCTAGAGAGCTCCTGGCATCTGCAGCCAGGATGTGGATCCTGCAGTTATAGGCACTTGAGACCTTCTCCAAAGTCAGAAAAGACTTAGGTGCCTGCTAAAAGACTTACCAGCACCTGGGTCTCTATTTAGTATAAAAGTATTTTCTGCAAGGTTGGTTCCTCAAGGGCCCTGGGTGTGGGGTAATGTATGACAGAATGAGAAAGAAAACCTGTTTCTGGGAGAGATCAGAGAACCCGAAAGTGTTTGTGCCAAATGGGAATACAAAGGCATTGGTTTACTTGCAGCTTTGCTGAGGTGGTCACAGCATCAGTTGGGCTCTGTGCTCAATATACGTCTTCAGGGAAGGAGCAGGGAAAACCTCAAGTGCTTTGGTTGCTCCTCTGCTTTCTGCACTCTATGTGATGTGCGGTGGCTCTTCCTGCAGGAGTCGGAGGTCCTATCCATGTCTGGGATGGAAGCCTTTATTGAAAAACAGACAAAATTACTAGCAATGCAGTCAGCAGATGCCCCAGAAAAGGATCCTGACCATACGCTCAAAGGATCTGTGGATGGTGACGTGTCAGATGCAGCCGCGCCAGCCCAAGACCTCAGCAACAGTGACCCGGGTGAGTGACAAGATCGCACCACAGAGAAGGGAGCCAGGGCACAGTCCACTTGGGACTTCTGACAGTTGGGATTCATCGCTTTTAATTTATCTTCTGTTCAGCTAAGTAAGCCATGTGTTTGAGGTACTGTGCTGAGTGCTGGGATGCAAGAAAGAATACGAACCAGTCCCCAGAGCTGAGCCAAGCCGAGTGCAGCCAAACAGAGGAACAGGGCAAAAAGGCAGGGAGTTCCAATCCAGCAAAATGAGACCCATGTTTGCAGTCTCATTACCTTGTTGAAGTTCTTTTTAGCGTGCTTCCGCTACATTTGAACTTCTCCCTTTACCTATTCCCTTAGAACCTGTGGTACCACTTTCCTGGTTGGTCCCTTTTCAGTCACTTTTGTTAGCTCCCTTATTAGCCTTATTTAGTATATTGCTGGCTCTCTGTTATTACTCTGCACACTCTACCTGGTGATCTCATCAGTTCTATTGGCTTTAATTCTAACATGTGTGCTATGATGCCTAATATCGGATGTATTTCCACCCCACTTGCCTATGGAAATCTGCACTGAGATATTCCATAGGGCAGTGACAGACAAACATGTGCAAAACAGAATTCATCTTTTCCCTAAATCTATCCCTTTCATTTTTATTTATTGCCATGGCAACCAACCCCACCCAGTTACCAGAGAAAGAGCAGGGAGGGAGAAGAGGTGAGGACACTGTTCTCTCCTTATAAGCATTTGAGGCAGGGCAGGTTTGCTTCCCAGAGGAATGAAGAGGAAAAATTGGGAGTCCTGGAGATTAGTATGTTTGCTAAACTAGAATTTATAAGAAGAAAAATGTTTAATTGCATCAAGATAAAGGCTCCCATTGAAAAAAAAAGATCACAAAATCTTATGTTCAGAAGGAAAATAAAAGTTTGATTTCATCATTGTTTCTCTCAACTTAGCTATGTGGAAAATGGAATTTACAACTCCATCTCTTCACATATATCTCACTTGTTAAGTAAACCAAGTATTTTGACACCAAAAGCATTAGAAAACTGTAAGAAATTATAAATAAGGGGGAATGGGTAAAACACTAATAATCCAGCCCAAATCAAGACTGTAAATTTTGAACAACATATCTCTAAAGGAGTAGTTTCTTGCTTCCAGTCCTCTTGGCTAAGATCAAGTCTAAAGGAGTAGTTAATGCCTGGGTAGCCCTTTTTCTAGCCCTAAATGCTCATTGATAGAAATTTTATCATTTTTTTTCAAGAGCACCTGATGCCTTGTTTTGCTTCCTCTTATTTCTTACTGCTATGACTAATTATCACCGCATGATGGCAGCTCTGTGTAAATACTAACCCTGAGAAAGTGATAGAATTCAGGAGGATGACTAAGACTCAAAATGATGCTACTTTCCAAGGAACTCAATAGCCCATCTTTGAACAAATGACTAGAAAGCAAACACATCAGCTCCCAGGCCCCTTTGAAATACAGTGCAGAAGAAAGAAAATATTTTTTGGATGGGATTAAGAAGGTAGGTTTTATTTCAAATAGATTCATCCAAATCTGACGTCATTTGTGTTCTAAAGAACCCTTAAGGGAGGGGGACTTGGGCAAGCTAAGAGAATACCCATTGGTCCTAGACTAACAAAATTATTGTTGATGATTAATTATAGTAATATTAGTCATAGCAATAGCATCAGGTAGCTAAGTTTCATTCTGGAATATTATGTGCTCCTGAGAAAGTCTGCAGGGAACCAAATCAGAGGTGACATGGGACCCCCTGAACAGGGTTAGAGAACAGATACTTCCATCCATACCTATCTCTATTCAGGAGACTTCAGTTTAGCATGGGTGTGAGCTCCTTTGTGGCCAGTCTTTGGAATAGGAAAGAAATCAGTCACTGTCCTGGCATTTTCCCAAAGGTGTAGTGCTTTTCCTAGAACCACATGTCATCTCAAAATCAAACTGCAGCTTCCTGGATCCCAACCCAACAGCTCTGTGTAATGGAGTTGCTTTCAAAGCACTTTTTAACAGGAGAAGAATCCGAAATCTTTTCCCAAATCTGCTGCCCACACATTTCTCTGATGCCTTGTGGAGACGAGTGGAATATAAGTGTGGAAGAGACTGGGCCTTGCCAGTTCTAGTTAGTCACCAGTTGTGAGCACTTACCTACAACAAAATATATCTACTCCCTGGGGGAAATACAAAAGAAACAGACCTAGGCAAAATAATGGTATTCAAAATATTTTTAAAAAGATCAAAATGTTTTACTAAGTGACTAACACAAAAGAATTGTAAAGAAATACCGAGCCTATCACTGAACTTTTTAGATATGAAGTATCTCTTGATATGATGTAAGAACTGATGGATTACAAAAATACAGGATAAGATAAAGTGCATTGAAAGATGTCCTCCAGTATGGGTCTCTTCTGAGTTACTTTTGATGCCTTTTTATTCTCCAGGATCAGAGACGGAGTTAGCGGACACAGCCCTCGATCTGCTGCACTTGCTGCTGATGGAACAGTGGAGGTGGCTGTACACAGAAAACATACAGAAAGTTCTTCATCTTATCTTTGGGACCCTCATACAGAGGTAAGACTGGTGAGTGCCTCACATTGGAGCCTCACATTGGACTGGGGGAGGGGGGCACAATACTGCATTCTCCACCAGGAAGGGAAAGGGGAAAGTCCAGGAAACGTGTGGTCATGAAGGAAGGTAGAGTCTCTGCTACAGAGGTACAGAAATGAAGACTGCCGGGAGAAAGCTTGGGTTCATCACCTTGTTGTCTTACGTTTGAATTGACTCTGCTCCTGTAAGGCCTCTGACCTGATCCACTGAGTCACAGACACTGCCTATGATTTTAAAATACTTCATCCGAACTCTTCCCACTCCAGGATCAGTTCTCTACCTAGTTATACTCCTAAGCCCTGTATCTTTCACCTTTTGTCATTGGACATTTCTTTTTAGTGATAATATGTAGTCAGTGACAATCAAAATAAGAAAGATGAGGAGAAAACAGATTGGTGCTCTCAAAGATTATTTTTTGGGGAAGGAGTGTAAATGTTCACAATTAAAGAAGCACCTATTGCCACAGGATGGTAAGGGATAGGATACTTGGATTTAAAACTTGGATTTTATAATTTAGGTTTTATAATCCTAATACCATTTGAAACTCCAGAAAGGTTTGCACACAGAGTACAAAGTCTTTGGCTGCTGACTTCCTCACCGTGAAACATGCAAGCTTTGCTAAACTGAAGAAGGCCAAACACTGTCTCTGAACCAGACACACCTAGTGCTTGAGGTTTAGCCACTTGTTTTTATTTCTCTCTCATGAGACGTCCTGGCACATCACAAAGTAAGAAGCCAAATCCCGACCTCTTCTGTTAGTATGTGGCTCGTGCTAATAGGCACTCCAAAAATAAAAACTTCTTTTAAAAGAAGAAGTATGGCTCCATCCTACAACATGTAGAGAATCCATCACCAACAAGTAGTTAAATCTTCCTTTTCACACTCAAAGTTGCACGGGATCAGGGAGGCTTCATAAGCTTTCATCAGAAAGAGACTAAGCGGACGAAGGGTGCACATTTATATTTGCTGAGTGTTTCTCATATGCTGGCATCTGACTCTTGTTTGCATATATTTTCTTATAGCATCCAAGTGAGGTAGGTAGTTGATTTACAAAATAAGAAACTAGAGCTTGGCAAGGTCCATTTTGGTTAATTTAGTAGGAACCGAAAAATATAAATGAGTCAGGAAAATTTCAAAAGATTGAGATTGATATATAGAAAAGATAGGAAGACATCCCCTGAAATTTAAATAACTCAATATTAAAGGGCTTGGGTCAGTACCAAAGAGAGAGAAATATATATTTGGGGATTACAGGCAGATCATTGAAGAAGTGGTATGATATGCAGCTAGGGCTCGTGGAGATCTAAAACAGGAACCTTAAATGCAAGGGAATCGCAGGCTGTGAGCATTGCAGGCCAGGTCACATTGCTTCAGTGGGTGGTGATTATACATTTTCTAGTGATAGGGAAGAGACAAGAATCAAGTGGAGTGGCTGGTGTGTAAAGAAGAAAATACAACATGCATATGCACTCTAGTCTAAGCTGTTTCTTGGTCTGACTGATAGGAATTTGTCCAGGCTATTTTGTAGCACTCAACTCACTTTATCTTAAAATACTCATAATTCTGTCCAACTGGGGAATTGTTTTGGTCTTATTCCTTATTCATTGAAAAAATAGTAAGGGCTCATCATGAACAAAGCAGATGCAGTCCCTACTTCTCACATAATTTTTCAAGTTAGTGGGGGTGAGAACTGAGGGCCATATCCATGACCACAAAGCTAATGTGTGGTGGAGCCAGAAATGAAAACCAGTAGTCCACATCCCATATTCTTATCCTCTACAACACACTGGTATCTGCTATGTGTGAACTCCCTGAGCTCTGGTTTCCTCATCTGGAAACAGGAATAATAATGCTGTCCTATGTCTTCAGGTGCATGGAGCATGCCCAGTAAATGTTAGGGTTTAATGTTTGCTCTTCAGGAAAAGGAAAGAAGGGTAAAAAGCATTTTCTCTGTCTAATTCCTCCAGCTAGTGCCCCCAAATTTGTTAAGCTTTTTATGTCTTCAGAATGTCCGCCCCACATGCCAGCCTCCTTCTTCAGCTACCACTAGCCCTGTTGTCCCTGTCTGAGGATCAGACTGTTACCCCGTAATTTGAAGGGATAAAAGTCAGTCTAAAAATCTTTGACTCAGGGTAGTTAGTATACATTCCCCAAGAGGATATTACGTGCAGTTTGTAAAATCCAAACTGCATTTCCACGTATGCACGCTCACAACACAAAAGGCACCGCACTAGCCTGAAGTCAGCCTATGTTACTTGTTCCTGACAGCTTGCATGTTTTTATTTTTAAAAAGAGGTTCATGCAGTGCCACATTCTTTGGCTTTGCCTTGGTAAGCAAATAAAATGGAATTTGAGATCTCCTCAAAGCTGTAGCACCCCCACCCCCAAACTCCTCCTCCTCCTACCAGAAGAGGTGTGGTGTGGCCCCAGCAGTTCAGTGTTGACCTCCCTGAGACGGTCCCCGTGACTGCTGCCCCGGAGACAGCGTGCTTCTCTCTGAAACCACAAGCCTCTGAGTCAGGTCCTTGTGCAGAGGACTCGGGTTCTCTGCCCTGGGCTCTGCACTTCAAAGAGAAGCAGAGTGGGTATTAATGCCACAGGCAGCTACTGCCACTTCTTGTCCTGAAGACACTGCGTTATCGGGGACGGTACAGCCATCTGGATTTAGATGCATTGCCCCCTTAAATGTTACCAGTTTCTAACCTCCAGCATTATCATCTCCAAGGAGATGAGTTAATTTCTTCTGCTTCCAGCTTTGTTTACTCCCCTCGCTTCCTTAAAAGACCTCTGTACATTATTTAGTCCCCTCAAAACCCTATGAAAGAGGGAACTGAGACATACAAAGAATTATAGTAACTTAAACAAGACCTATGTACATAACTCTCTTGGACACCAGGGACTTGTGCCAGATCTTAAGCGTTTATTCCCTCTCTTCCTCTCTTTCTCTCCCTCTCTTCATTCCTTGTTCCCTCCCTCCCTCTTCATTTCTCCATTCCTTCTTCGCTCTCTCTCCTTCCCTCCCTTTCCCCTCCCCTGCAAGGAAAAAATAAAATAAAAAAGAGTAACTTCAACCTCATGACCCCTCCTTCTAAGCCAAGGTTGAAAGAGTTCTGATCTGAGCCAAGCTTCATAAATCTCCCTTGATTGTTGATGGTTTGGAGAAAGTGGGGGAGGGGAGCTGAAGAGAAGTTAGATGCCCAAAAAAGGCATTGTTAAGTCAAAGGGGAGTCTTGCACACATGCGCGCCTGACCTCTTATGTCAGCTTCTGTGCCGGGAACATCCAATTATGTAAGAAGGAGCACTCCTTATTCGGATTTAGAGACGGAATGAGGGGAAGAGGAGTGGGGGTAGCAGTCTACGCCAAGGAGTAAACCCAGCTTGTGTGAACTGCTCATGTCTGCAAACAGAAGGAACTTGACAATATTTCTGCAAACATCAGAATCAGGTTCAGGAAACTGGACAAGCATGTAGACAGTCAGACTAGGTTGGAGGGAAAGAAGAGGCACCGTGCTTCATTGATGCTGGAAGGTTTGGGCAAGAAGATCCAGCCAAGGTAAGAAGTGAGATTATTATGGAGTACTGATGTGGAGTGAAGGAATGAGAAGCAGCTGGACCCGTTCCCTGCCTGGATGCCCAGAGTAATGCCATGATAAAAATACGAGCCAGGCTCGCAGTAGAGTACTCGAACGCCACGTCCCGTGGCTCTGCCCTTCCCATGGCCCCAAGACGGCATCAGACTCTGTGTCAAAAGGGCAGCAGACACATTCCTGGCATCTGCGTCAGGATTTCGTAGTGAGAGAGAGACTGTGGGTGTGGGTGTGGGTGTGTGTGTGTGTTGAGGGCACGTGGGAATGGAATAGCATGGCAAAAAAAGGGTAGGGAGAAAAGAGAAGATTCCGTGACCTGTGAGCAAAGGAGAGTAGAAAAGTAAGTATGTCAAGTCAGGAAGTAAATAGAGAGGAAGAAGAAAAGAAAAATTGCAGTAGGTGTAAAGGTCCAGCAAGCAGTGGACCCCAGAGAAAATTAAATGACAAGCTCTGGACCTTATGCTATGCCATGGAATCATTTTCTTATAGGAGAGGTCTCTCCCACCACCTCCCAGGCAAGCAAGGTCAGGAGAAGGTTTGTTGGCAGAGAGTATGGGACCATTGGAGAGCACTGTACTCCCAGGTGGAGCATTCAGCCTCCGCAAGGACAGTTATGAGTACATGATCATGAACTCTTTTGCCTCCACTGTTAGCTTTTCTCTAAGTATAGTCCATTCGGGAGCCTTTTCTCTGTGGACATGGCTGTGTAGCAGATGGATAAAGGGTCTCTCTGACTGGTTATAGCTTAAGGCAGGGGTGGGGAACGTCTGGCCCCCCGGCCATGTAAGGCCCACAAAATCATTTGGTCTGGCTCTGCCAAGGTATTAGTGGTGAGTTAATTAAATGTTTGATCAAATAGAGCAGGCTAATTTTTAACTTGATCATTTTGTATGGCCCGAGAATGATGTTATACTAAATATCCAAGAGGCCCTCGGCAGAAAAAAGGTCCCTCACCCCTGTCTTAAGGGAAACTCCTGGCCTGCTACCAAAAAAACACAAGCAATTGCAATAAGACAGGAACTGACATTCAATACCAACTGTACCAGGTTAAGCTGCTGTGTTCTTTAGGTACTAATGTGCAGCACATGTCTAGGAGAGGGACGTTTCCACATTTTACAGGTGAGGAAAAGGATATCTAGGTTGAATAAGCATCTCAGACATCCCACTTCAGGCATCCTGGCCTCAAAACCCATGCACTTTCTGCTACTCCATACTGCCTCCCCCTGAGCAAGCTTTCTGACAAAGCAGTGGCCCCTAAAACCAGCCTCACTTGAAAGTCCCTGTGCCTTATTCCCATGTGATCTCTCTTTCTATCTGACTGCTCACTTACATATGATGGTAGCATATGAGTCTGTTTCTGTCTGCATATTCTGATT